AGGAGACCAGCAAGAATAACCGCATTGTGTGAGACATGACTGACAAGCAAATTATCTAGGGAGTTGAGCTTATTTAGTCTAGAGGACAGAAGACAGTCACGGGGGGAGAACAATGGCCCTCAAGTACAAAGTAAGGAATAAATCATTCCCCATAAGGCAAGCAAGAGTGGGCTTAAAAATCACAGCCAGGGAGATTTAGGTTAGAGTTCTGGTTGTTTTTCTGATGTGTAAGAGCCAATGTTTTACCTGAAATACTACAGAAGATTCCCCAGAAGCCTCTGTTAGCAAAAGCCCTTTAGAACAAATGTGGCAGAAATGACCATGGCTTCAACAGGATGAGAGACTACATGACTGTTAAGGTCCCTCCCAGGCTTCAGATTTCTTTGGACCATTTGCAGTTTTCAGCACCCCTATGTTCTCTCAGACACCAGGCCAACCACAAACAGGGTGCTGTTTGCTTAGCCTTAAAACAGTGGCTTTTTCCCGCTAGTGAACAAGGCCGACACTTCCCAGTACAAGGGGGCCAAGTGAGAGTGCATCCCACATCAGTTTTTAATTGCAGTACAACCAAGGCATCACCCTCTCCTACACATTCCATGCTCTGCAACACAGCTGCCCTTCTGGCAGGTTGCCGGGGAATTAGCAAGCATTCTTTCTCTGGGCACTACATCTTACCTTGATCTGAGGCAACTAGGGTCTGCAGGATTTTGGCATCTCCAACCTCTGAAGGATAGGAACCTTGATGCCAGGGAACCAGGGGCTGTGAAAACTCCTGCTTGCATTTCAGGCACTGGAGTTTCATGGATCCCTTCTCCTGGTCCTGATTTTGCCGGTTCTCCTCAACAGCTGGAGACAACACTTCAAGGACACACTAAAAGTAGCAGCACAGGGAAAACAGTGCCAGCAGGCAGCTATGAAAGCAGGCCTGATATCAGCAAGTATCCTCACATGCCTCATTACAGCATTTCAGAGTGCAAGGGGTGCAGGGCTATTTCCCAGCTAGCAGAGCACAACAGCCAGTCTGTGCAAGACTGCCAAGGGCATGGAGCTTCACTGCAGAAGACCAGGAGAACCTGTTTTCTGCAGGTCCATGCCTTTTATCTACATATTGACAGGTTTCTCCCTGAACTGCCGTCTCAAAGCTGCTATCTATTTGTGTTTTCTCTGTATCTACTTGTTGAAATGTACTTAAAAAACAGTATCCTGAGAAAAATACTTTGAGACCAGAGTCCCTAGAGCAGCTGTGCAGAGCAGAGCTGCCATAGCACCAACACTCTCACTTTCCTTAGGGCCAAGTACAGGCTTAGCACATCACTCAGCACCCAGGAAACATGTTGTCCACGCACAAGTAAGGATCACTAGCTTGACTACTAACTTTTCTCCTCAAGAGGAAGAAAACCACAAGGCTTTCTCCTTGAAAGCACCCATTATGCTCTAGGAGCTCCACTGCCCACAGCCATGCTTACATGGCCCTCCACAGGTCATTTGCGCAGCCAGAGAAATCCTGGGTTTACAAGCCAGGCATGGAATACCACAGGACAGCAGATGCACATGTGCTCTTAAAAAAGGGGGACCAGCATCTTCCAGTAACACTGCCCCTCTGCAGGCTTCCCCCTCCCCTACCTGTAGGCACTGCTCCGGGCAGTCGTCCAGCACCACGTATTTGCGCTTCTGCCGGTCCTTGCGAATGTAGCTGAAGTGCAACGTGAGGACAGGGAAAACTCGCTCCAGGTCCTGCAGGAAGTCAGGAAACACCAGCTCTAGAAGGAGGGTGGAGCATCCAGTACACAGACCACATTTGTTTGCAACTGGTTAAAACAAGGCCATACAAGTACTTAATTGAGTAAGCCCTGAGTAGCCCTCCATAGCCGATAGCATTTGGGAGCATGGTAAAATGGGCATAAACAAGTAAGCAAAAATCAGCTCAAGTGCTGAGGATAACAGCAAGTTTCAGGGCCCAGAACAAAGCATTTCAAAAGAAAAACCTTTTCACAAAGATATTTTGAATATTAATATTCAGAAGAATATCAAGCCACAAACATTTAAGAGGTACAAGGGCAGAAAGAAAAAATTAGTTGGAGCTTTTAGGGAAAACATTATTAGAGAGGCCTGTGAACGTGCCTGTGCACACACTGAATGTTAAAATCTTACCACGAGAAAAACGAGATTTCCAAACACCCTTTTTAGAAACCACAAAAGCAAAATAGGGCTGGTAGTGCTAAAGCACACACCTGAAGTGGCTGGAAAAGCATCCACTCAGCTACCAGTAGCTCTCTAAACGTTACACTAGGCTCAGTGCTGCACTGTCCAAGAAAAAGCACAGTCCACAAACAGTCCTCCAAGGCCAGGGCAATATCCTGGTGAGAAACGGATGGGACAGAGCTCTCCATTTAATTCAGGCTCCTTTTGAGAAGTCTCTCATTCCTGTGCACTGGAACAAGTCCAGACATTGACTTTTCAACTCCAGCCTTGGAACAGAATTGGTGCTGGCTTCTACTGCATTATCACAGGCACTCTAAGCAGTACAGATGCTGTTAGACACACATGCGTTGATGGAAGAGATGCTCAATCAATTAGGCTTTTCAGGAGCAAAGACCTGCAGGGTACTCTGACAGAAGCCCCAATCCAGCACACTGGCACACACACAGGGAGTAAGATGCCAAAAGCTCACACAGAGACATAGCTCACCATCCTCTTCCAGTTCATGTTGGAGGTCTCCACCTTCTGCAGGCATTTCAGCTCCAGCTTGTGGAGTACTCTGGCAGCCTTCAGTTCCACCTCAATCACATGCTTAGCTGTGACTCGCAAGAAGATCCAATCTGGCTCGGGGTCCCCTTCACCTTCTATTTGGCTCACCAGCACTGGCTGGCAGAGGTCCACTGCCAAACAAGACACAGTATAGGTAAGTACACACAGCAGGCCTTCAGGCCTACTTGGCCCAAGTCCTCAGGATTCCCACAATACTGGGCAGCACAATAAAGCTTCAGGGATATCACATTTGATCCATCTATTTTTTCATTACCCAAGCCCTCAAACACAGCAGTGAAAGGACCCGTTTACCTTCTGGCTTCTCCTCTTCTTCCTCCCCCAGCATTAGCTCATCTGCCTCCTCTTCTCCTTCAACAGGCTCATCCAGCTGTACTTCAGGCTCTTCCTCCTTCTCAGTATCATCCAAAGGAGGAGGGGATTCTTCCTGGGATACCTGGGGATTTCCTTGATCTGGGTCAGAGCTCTCACTCTGCAAGTCCATTGCAGCAGGTCTGCCTGTGATCTCATCTGCAGAACGGCTACGGCAGATGACAGGTACTTGGTCATGCTCCTCCAGATGTCTCTTGTACTGCAACCAGTCAACACCAAAGCGATCTCTGAAGCTGTTCAAGCGCTTCATCTCCTTCTGATGCTGTAGGACCAGGCCTGCAGAGAGAAAACTTGTGAAGCATGAAAATAGTCACCATGCCAGCACACTCCTCTGACTGTGTACAGTTCAGCTGCTGTGTTACTGAAGAAGACAAGACTTACCAGCAGAGAGAGGTAAAGCTGGGGGCTCATGCTCAGAGTCACTGGGCTCCGAAATGCTTGCTCTGCGCACTTTGACTTTTCCCTGGAACAAACAGGATAAGAATAGTTGGGAGGCACCAAAACCACCAAAACCACATCTGATGAGGGCCTCTTTTAAGCTGAAGGGTTCATAGCTGCTACAGTGCAGTAGCACACTGTGAAACGTTTGTCAGGGTATATCAAGAGTGATGATAAGCCCAGCTCCTTCTGAACACACAGCAGCATAAAGCCTCACCTACCACACAGTCAGTCCAAGACCACAACCCACCGCACAAGGCTTTCACGTCGAGGCAGCCCCTTCACCCAACATGCCAGCTACATGGTTAAGAAGCTATTTCAGTCCCAGACCTTGCTTTTCTTCCGAGGGAGCCTGACAGCCACTTTCTCTGCTGGGGACGGACTGTCGCTGAAGTCTGCAGCACAGGAGCTCTCCAGAGCACTGCGGTCCAGTGCAGTTTTCTCTGAGGTAGAAGTGTGGATGGACTGTGACACACTTTGCACAAGTCTTGGCAGGTGCTAAAGCCAAAAGAAGATAACACTCCCCGCTGAGCACAAAGGGAAGACAAGGTAACCAAGCCACAACTCAGCCTGACAACTTCCCTGTTCCTCACCCCGAACTTTCACCATCTCAGTTGAGGAGGTGACAACAGATCCAGCCTGGTTGACCGGACTGTTTATCACAACCACTCCGATTTAACTCAATCTCTGCTTTTGTTAAAAACAGCAGATGGGAAACTGGAAACTGTTTGTTTTGCTGACATGTAATTCAAGTGTCAAGTATCAGACAGTACCTGAAAAGGAAACAGGCAAGGCTCCAAGTTCTGCAGGGGTACATAGGACAGAATAAGTTACATGGGCCAGTACCAACAATTACTAGGAATCAGTGTGGACTGAGCCAAAAGGAACTGTGTCAAAGAGTCAAGGTAGCCCATAGAGATTTAATGGGACATCTAACAATGCAAAAACCTGTCAGAGTTCCCACTCCAAAAGCCAGCAAGATCAGTTTACAGCAACTGTACTTACCATTAGGTCTGAGGAAGAGAGTGGCTCCCCATCTAAGAGGAACTGTAATTAGAGAACCATTTGCAGTCAGATTCCATCTGGCTGGCACATACTCAGGACAACATCTGCTGATTCCTAATCCCTCCCCTTCAGGCCACCCTAGGGTTTGGTTCCCTGCCACAAAACTGCAAACAACCCTGTTCCTGCCCATCCATCACTCCTTCAGTTGTAGCTACCTGACCTAATAGAATGTAAGGCCAGAAGGGACTATTGTGGCTTTCCTGTTTACAGACTTCACGACTTCCAGAAACTTATCCAAGACAGTTCACGGAAGAGATACAATAGAATATTCTGCAACAGCTCACAAATTGCTTTGAGAGGTACTCACTTTCACCTCAAAGCCTGTACCCTACTTCTAGCCTGCGCCTACCTAGCTTCCAGTAACTTGAGGTCAGTGAAAGCTTGTTCCAAGATGCAGTTTGAAGACAATGAATCCAGCCACTTGCCACTAATATGAAGGGCAGAGCAGTTCTGGAACACCTCTGACCCTAGCAAACGAGTTTACTTTGCTAAATTGCCAGAACACTGTTTTTGCTGACTTCTTTATTTAAAATCAGATTACCAAAGAGTGACCTAAGCACCAGAGTGCAAGGGAAACAATTATGATACCTAGCTGAGAGCAGGTTGATGGGGAGAAAGAAAGAGGTGGCCACAGCTGCCAAAGGAATATGGAGGCAAGGTGGGCCACGACCACATTCCTTCTTTGCAAAGTCCTGCTACATAGTCACTATCCAGCAGGAAAAGAGTAACGTTTTGGGAACATCAGTGAATACATATTAAGATCTGAGGTCTTGCAAACCCCAGATCAGTATTGAACTCTGTCTGCTCTGGCAAGTATCCCACATAAACACTTAAGGCTAAACTACTCTACCTGAAAAAACAAACAAGCAAAAAAATGAAACAAACCACAAAACAATCATTACTGTTACACCTCACGAATAAATTTTCAGGTTTATGAAATTCTTTCCCCTCATTTGGCCCTGAGTGTCAGAACACCCTGAGCCTTCAGTGAAGGGGCAGAAAACACGTGGCTGATACTCACATTGGAGGAGGCTGCCCTGGGAGACAGATGAGCAAGGGTGGCTGATCGGTGGTTCTGATGGAACCATAATGGGTTTCCCTCTAAGTGAAGCTGAGTGGGGGAAATACAGAAATTGTTATTAGAAGTAATATTCTATATTCTAACTGAATCTGTCTGCAGGCTCTCTCTCTCTGCCTCAGGAAATATCCTTGCAGTAGAACGGTAATCAAGCCAGGAGAGGACTAAGCTTTGACAATGCGTCCTGAAATTTGTTCAGCAAATAGAGAAGGAAATTCAAATACTTCCTAATCAGGTCCCTAATTCATTAGGAACTTTTCCAGTACTAACTCTGAGAAGTGTTGGAGAACAGTCCTTTGCAGGCTAACTTCCTTCACAAGCACTATAGTGACTGCAGTTGGCCTCCTTCAGACTTTTCCGAAGACACAAATCCACAACAGGATTAGAGGAGGATATTTACTGACCTTGACAGCTTTAAATTCAGAAAGGGAAAGCAAGGAATTGGGTGGGAAGCAAGAGGATGAATTCTGGAAAAAGGTTAGCTTGAGCAGGGGTCACCAAAAATGAAGGCTCCAATACAGGTGTCTCTCCAAGGCTCCTCCATCAGCTTCCCACATTATATTTAAAATGCTCAATAGTTGAATTGTTCTTTGAAAACTCTCTTCTTACAAAGGGTTCTCCACCTTGCATCCCCTGACCATGACATCAATGATTTACCAACACATCAGGCTTTGTGCTTACTTTTCTTACACAGTGCAGAGCAGACAATGGTGCCAACTGGGCATGTTCTAGCAGCAGGTTGTAGGCCACATCCAGGTGCTGCAGATTCACTAGCTGTTCAACCCCTGCAAACAAAGAAAGATGCCATCAGCACACTAGAAGATTTAACTTAAGAACCTCCCACCCAACCCTCTCCCCACAAACTGAACCCTAGTAAAACCCGATGTGCCCTAGATCTCAAGTTCTGTTCCTCCTCGAGGAAGAGAGAAAATTCAGAAAAGCTCTTCCCTTGTGGGCTCACCATTAACGCTGTCAAGCTCATTGTTGCGCAGGATCAGAGTCACCAGCTTGGATCGGCTGAAGATGCCAAGGTTGGGCACCTTGGACAGGAAGTTATAAGCCAGATTGAGGTATTCTAGTTCTGTAAGGGTCTGTTCAGAGAGAAGAGCAGCAGTGGATCAATTGCAACCTGACCCTGAACTCAAGACAGGGCACTAGATCTCACTAAGGTCAACCAGCAATTAAGTTTCTTTAAACTATTTCTGTAGCAAGACTTGGATGTTCACATTTGGAGTGGTTTGTCTAGGGATGCTCAGCATGATCTAACTGGTTTACAACATTTGCTAGGAGCAGCTTTCTCCTTCCTCATCATCTCTAGTGGAGCACAGGAAGGGCCTGGACCCCCTGCCTCAGCAAAAGGACTGAACTACCAAAAGAAGCCCTTTCTTACTTTTGCAAGGATGATGGTGAATTATATACTGTGAGCCCCACCAACTCCATGAAAATCTTCTCTTCAAAGAAGCAGTTCTAGCTCAGCGAAGTATGGATTTAATTGCCATCCCCCAGATATGCACGTGCCACCGTGATGCAGTGCCACCTTTCTAAAGTAACTGATGGGAGATTTCTGAGACCAAGAAAGCAATGCTACTGGCAGTCTGAACAAACCAACCAAGCAAGTTTCTGCAGCCTCATGCCTGGCTACGTAATTCCCACCTGCTGCAGAGATGACAGCAAAGTCTTCACCACAATGGAGTGCATGCTGCATGTGTGACTGTACGTGCAGTGGTACATATCACTTGGCCACACAGGGGTGCCAGGTGATACATACAGCTAACTTTCCTGTCTTAGCACAAATGAGGAACACTGTCTTCTCTGCCCCAGTGGCACAGGGGCTGCACACACAGGACAACAGTCTCAGGGCTGCAAGCACTAGGCTCTAAATCCAGGCTTGCTGGGACACGTCTCAGTGCCTTTTGTTATACTTCACCTAGCAGGCACATGGCCAATGATTACAGCACTGTAGCAGTGTCCTCTCCACACAAGGAAACTCTGGTGCTCAGCCCAGGATACTCACCGTTAAATAGTGCTCACAATCCTGGATCTTGTTATGACTCAGATCTAAGACTCTCAGAGCATTCAGTAATTGCTGAAGGACAAAAAGAAACTAGATCAGACCCTCCAAATGTCCTGACTGCAGCACAGAAACCCTGTCCTGCTGGGAGAGGCCAGCAAAATTAACACTGCCCACACTCTCCCACCCAGACCTAGTAGTATCAGTAGAGGAGTGCCTGGCTGTGATCATCTCCTCTCTTCCCCTCAGTCATGCAGGAAGGATGCCCCACTCACCAGTGAATCATCCAAGGCACTGATCGAGTTATAGCTGAAGTTCACAGTCTGCAATTCCAGCCACGGGAGAGCACAGCTTAGGTCTCCACCACATGCTGAAATTATTTCCTAGGAGGAAGTGAGGAGCCATTCCTTGGTGAGTGCTAGTTGCTACAGTAACAGCGGATGAACACAGGAGAACAGCTAGTCTAGAACTAGGCTGGCATATTGTGCTTTACAGACCCTGCCTTGCCTAGAGTGGCAATGACTTTTATGTCACTAATTGGAGTATTTGGAGGTGGTGAGAATTCCACAGCTAGATATTTAGAAAGAAGGGGAAATGCTTTTGCTTCCCACACTCAAGTGGCAATACTTAAACTAACATTTCAGTTGGTAGGCTCTGAACACTAAGCACCAAGATTCATGCTAACAAAACCTTTTTCAGACGTCCATCAAAACAGAAGACACACATCCTGGCCAAACAGCTTATGCTCTGGTAGACAAAGGAACTACTGAAAGCACTTCCTACCAGTAGCCCCTGTTCCCAGCAGACAGCTGCTTCTGTGCCACAGACAGAATCCTGCAGCCCCACAGCAAGCACAGCCCATGCTACTCAGTTCTCTGCAGTTGGAACTTCCCTTCATGTCTGAGAAACCTGATGGGCATCAGTGAGGGTAAGACCCAGGGGCACAGCATTCCCCCTGACAATCAGTTCCTAAATTGGCTGATGAAGTGCAATGAAAGAAACCTCTGCCAGCTGCAGGCCTGATCATGGAAACAGCCAGACACACAGAATGGTCAAACCTAGCTGATAACTTATTGGGCAGAGCCAGAGATTCTCAAGCAGCTAAAAAGGACACTACAGAGGACACGTGTAACCAACCAGAGAATACTTCAACACTGTTTGCGTCAAAAGTATGACCCCAGAACACGGAAGGGAGAAAAAGCCATATACAACATGGAGTGATAAGATGGTTAGCACTGTCTCCTGCATCTTCCCTATATGAAGAGCTGTAGGATCAAGACAGCCTTTCCCCTGAAATTTTCCCCACGAGTTGTGGAGATGCACTCACCTCCACTGTGCTGATACATTTGCAACAGGTAAGAGATTCCAGTTGAGAATAGACAAATCGCAGTCCTTGGAGGCAGTGTGGGGGGACAGACCTCAGCTGCAGCAGTGATGAGAAAGTAAAAACAACATACATCAAAATATTACAGTGTAAGAGCAGCTGCCATCCCAGGCCCATCTGTGCAAGGGATCTTCCATTTCCCTGCTGCAGCCTCCCTCCCTAACATCCCAGCCTGTACTCATATCCAAGATTCACACAAGCAAGTGTTGCAGGAGTTTAGATATAGTCTTCTAGGGAAGCCACAAAAGCCTACCCAGTTTTTAGTGGAGGCATTCTGCAACCACAAAGCAAAAGTCAAACAGCAAGACTCAAGGCCAATTCTGCCTCCTGTACTTACTTCCAGATGCCGGAGGGACTTGAAAGGGAAGATCTTCACAGCAGATTGCAAAGCAGAGTTTGGAACATGAAGAAGCTGGAGAAATCAGAAAAGAAGTCTCATGTCAAGCTTGATTTGTGCTGAACAACTACTATTCTCCAAACACACTGTCTTCAGCACCTTGAACAGCCCCCCCCCCTCCAGTTCAGGTGTTGGCTAACAAGCTCTCCCCCAGTGCTTGGGGTGTTGGCACGTTCTCCTGGTTCCACAGTTCAACAGAGGCCAAAGAGAAAATCATGTTAGCTAGCACAGACCATACAGCCCCTTTTCTTCTCCCCTGCCTATGTGGCTTCACCACTTTTAGAACCACAGGGAGGCCTGACAGCTGGATTCATCAGCCACCGCTAACAAATTTACTAAATAAAGACAAATCTAACTGCTGGAGCTGTGTTTATGGAGCAGCTGAAGCTGAACTAGCACTCCGGAGGGAGGTGTGGGTGTGTATTTCACTGGAACATGCCAAATAAGGCAAATCACAAGCAGCTGCAATGAAATACAGAGTTGGTATCCAAGACGCTTCAAGCATTAGACTGAGGTACGTTTGCATTCTACAGTGCAGCTACAGGCTCTTTCACCACAAGGGTAGTTAGGCTGTGTTCCAGCAGCTTATTAAATCCAGCTTCTCGTGCTTTACATGGACAGTGCATAAACCATATTTCAGACAAAGTGAGTAATGAAATAGTTAATACTTCTACTGCAGACACCAAAGTACAACTGTAGAGACCATCTCTGCCAGCTACATCCACCTTCACACAGAAGTGACTCATCAGGTGCAGAGCTGACATCCCAAGGCCTCGTCAGCACAACCCCTTCCACAGTTAGAGCCCTGGCAGAGATGAATCACTGCCCACTGCTTGCCAGCGCTAATGCAGGATGTTGGGCAGGATCATTTGTAGGGGAAGCTGGCACTGGGAAGCTCTGATGATCAGTTTTAGTAGTTAGGGGTTGTAGGGCACATGGCTGGACTTGATGATCTTGAAGGTCTTTTCCAACCTAGATGATTCTATTATTTAGCAAAGTCTATTTCAGATGCCACCCTTGCTTTGTGTCCTAACCATGTCCTCCCTCTCCACTGTCTTAAGAATCTGATCAGGCTGATACAAATTGTTAATTCCTCCAAGCAAATCAGCTACTGCACCACAATGGGAAGCTTCCCCTTCTTCACGGGCTTGTAACAGAAAAAGCCCGTTTTTTGGTTAACACAAACACCCACCACAACACCCTCTGGACTGCAGTCTCCCTCCCCACCACCTCCTGCCAGGGGATCCGTGTTTCTCCACAGGCTCTGGGCCCCACTCCAACCCCCACCCTCAGCACATTGCTATGAAACCCTCCCAACAACACTCAGGTAATCTCTCCAACCTGTCTCTTATGGAAAACATTACAGGCCACAGTGCTTGGCCACACCACCTCCTGAGCACCACTGTGGAACCTGAGAACAGCCACTAATCCCCCTTTCCTTTTCAGACCCATTTCAGCACTACTACCACCCAACACAAAGTATAATCATGTGTAGCCTTGTAAAAGGTGCCACCTTCCGAAAGTCCCTCAGAAGAATCCCTAACTCCATACTATTGTCTTTACTATAGCCTTCTTGAAATCAACAAGGACATGTTTCTACCAACCACCCATGCTTTGAAACAGACCAACCAGAACCACTGCCCAGAGAGGAGCCAGGTGAAACTCAGAGCAGTGGGTGCCTACAAGGTCTGACTGTCCTGCTCAAACACCCCGGGCTCTGCTGCCCCGTGCAGATCAGCCACCACTCAGGGAGCACTCAGCTGTGCTCAGCTGCCAGATACCACCTGAATCGCTCAAGCATTTCAGGAAATAATACTTTTCCCAACAGTGTCAACAGCTCACGAAGGTCAGAACACGATTAACCCCTGCTGCCCCTGTTTTTAACTCTGAAAAAACTTTCTGCTGAGTTGCACGGCTGATCCTGGACGAGGCAGCGACACAGTATCGTGCTGAGCAGCCCCGTGAAGACCGGCGGGACCGGAGCAGCGAGCACATCAGGCGGGGCCCGTGGGTGTGAAGGGTCAGAGCTGTGCCCGACCCTGCCGGGCCCGCAGCACCCCCGGCAGGCACGGACCTTCAAGGAGAGCGTCTTCTGCAGGACGTCGAAGAGGAACTGCGCCTGGAGGATGGCGGCGGTCTCGGCGGGGTGCGAGGGCAGAGCCACGAAGCCCCGGTTCTGGTTGCGGGAGCCCAGGTGCTGCTCGAACACCTCGGTCAGGTGCTGCAGGGTGGGGGTGAGCAGCGTCAGCGTGCTGGAGCCGTCCAGGACGAGGTCCCCTGCGG